ATGTTCACTCCAATTATTACGTCTCCATTTAATTCCGGGACTCAAATTATTTTGTTTTGTTAATCCTTCTCAAACATCAGAGTGGAGCAGACCATCTTAACTACCCACGTCTATTTCACCCACATCATGACTCCAATCATATACGCAGTGTTCGAAAGTGCGTTGCATTCACACACAACGGAATGCCGTACTGTTCATGTCGTGAGCTGTGTTTACTTCCCCTGTCATACACGCGTTAGGTGAGTGAAGTTCAATTGTGAGGGAAAGCACAACTCAAACAGAATGACATGGTGAGTGTAATGCAGTGATCTCTGGACCAATCAATACCATCCTTTGTGTTTTGTCGACGGGCACTTTGCTAATCAGGTTCACGGGTCCGTGGGGTTTATGCAACGCCGACTACTTTACTGGACAGTGCCTCTGGACATTGTTTTATTCGACTAAATATGGGTGTACGGAAATGTAGAGCTGGTAGAAGTCGAATCATGTTGTCCTCCTTCCTAATGCGGTTGAAACCTAAATGCACGTTTGGCAAGAGTTTAAAAGGAAATCCTAGCTGAGGAAAAGACACCTTCTAACGTTAACAGTTTTCGGTTAAGTAATTTCTAAAACCAATAGAGAGTCAAAAACGGTACAGTTTCATCGCTGACTGAAAGGTGGGAGACTAAAAAGGCTATTTGTTAGATCAGTGGAATCTGCATTAACAAGACACAGGTGAAGTTTAAGTTGGTTGCAAAATATATGAACTTCACGTTTGCATTTACTCGCTTCCATTCGTCTGGTATGATTATTCCGGTCAGTCATAATCAAAGATGGGAAGCACTAGACTTCACTTTTATCCCTGTTAAAATTCATTTGCAATGTAAATCCTAGGTGATGCCTCCAGCATTAACCGGTGGAGCGGTGGTCACACTCTTGTTGCTTGTCGGATCTCCAGGGTCCAAAATTCAACAAGGCAAACGACATGCACTGCTCATGAGCTTTAACAGGAGTGAAAAATGAAGCAAGTGCTTCTCACTCTTCGCCTGGGATTGCCAGGATAACTGCAACCAGATGAGGGTGGAGGGAGGAGAGCTATTCAAGCAAGTGTGATACGAATGCGTACCCTACAAACATCTGCGCACTTCACCTTGTTGTATTCACACACACCATGTAACGGTCACCAAGACTGATTTTTTAATGAACAGCTTTGAATGCATCCTCTTCACAGTGAACCTATCCAACTGGTTTGGCTCTCGGGCTATCCAGTAGCCCGCTAGATTAGTCTATTAATTCACAGTTGTAAATAACCCATCTACTGTGGGTGCACGTAAACAGGTTCCTTGGCCTATGTTTTCCTGGTTCCCCCGTCTTTGAATTTACGTGAAAGCGATTTACTAGCCATTATAACTTTCACAGCAGGCAAGTGTCTGAAGCTGTAAATAAATCAGGATATGGAGCTGTAAATTTACTTGGAACTTTTTATGGTGATTACGAGGGGATCCAAAGGACTCCTAGCTGAATCTCTCATTTGTACTTTCCAGTAGAAAATAAGTTTGCTAGAGGCTTGAAGACCAAGCCCACCCGGTAGGCTCCAAGAAGGGCCAAATCGGTAGCGGAGTGTCGAAGGGGTTTCACCAACATTATAAGCAACCTTTTGCCAAATAGGTCAAACTACAGATTCATTGAGAAGCTTAGTGGCAATCGACAAGATTGCAGCTCACCTTATGAAGTCCCGTGACCTTCAGAATCCTGGCTGAGCGGTGGCGGATGGATTTCCATGTCGTACGTACGCAGTTCGCTTTCATACGTGTTTGTATGCTTATGCACGACCATTTGATCACCTGCATAATGATATAGCGTTCGTGTTATTATTTTTCGCGCTACTACACGAATTCAACTTAATCTTGGTGGAGATTTCGTTCTGTAAGGCCATCCTATGTTGAGAAGCCGTGAAGCACTGTAAAATTGTTTCATCCTTATTGTGAATCATCAGCAGGGCGCATCTCATGAAATTCCAGCATTTCGAACCCGCGACCTCATCCGGACATGAGTAACAGGTTTATACTTGTTAAAAATCGTAACTATGGTCTTGGTTTGTTTGAACGAACCCCCGACTGAAACCACATGAGCTCCTTGCAATTTACGTAAGAAACGACTTTCATTCAAGTCTGGTTTCCTCCACAGATGCCGTTAGCATATGCTTGTTGCGTATACACTCCCGAAAGTTGGACTTTAGCTTCTCTTGTCTGAACGATTACTGGTTTGTGTACTTTTAAGCGCGGAATATTTTTTCAATACTAAAGCATTGACATCAACACTACTGAAGCTGATTCTGTTCAGGCTTATAGCCAGGACGTATCGAGCAGCAGATATGAATCGATTTATCACAGTGTTTGAGTTTTTTTCACTGAGTGATTGGATTAAGCAAATTACGAATGCATATTGCCTTCGTTTTTGGATTTCCGGTCTATTACCCTACTACGCAGTTTCACTACCAGAACAATAAGTTCAGTTCGAAGAGACGACGATGAAAGGAACATATCACTGTCTTGTCAATGGAAGATATACCAGGCTAAACTAGTAGCGTACACTAAGCTGAATATTTTTAAACTATACAAAACCGAATACGATGAGATCTGATGATCATCAACCCACTTGGTGCTATAACTGCTGATTCGCCAAATGTGTGATATCTGCTGCTGACCCGTTCCAGAGCCCCAGTGCCTGAAAAAGACTCACAGAAGGGAACACAACAGCGATATTCGAACAAGCGAGTACGGGAGCGTGAGTGCGTGCGAGTGCGAGAGCAAAAGTTACAACGGTCCCACGCCATTTAAGGGGGACTTTCTGACATTGATCCAGACTGTCTGATAGGCGTTAGTGAACACCCATCGACATCAATCGTGCCTCTATAAAAATGCCTGAACGCTGATCACATTCGGTCATGCATCTGTGGTATGCGTGGGGATTCATTGGCTCTTGCTGAATTGATTGAATGTTTGACTGGTCTGGATGCTTGCCGACTTTCCTGTTGAAATTTTGGTGAAGCAGTAGGTTCCGGGCTTTTTGAGGTTACTCTCAGGAATCTGACCTTCCTGACAGTTGGTAAATGTGATCTCGCTAAAAGACACGGAGAAAGCTCACCCAACTTACCCAACAAAGTATTTTAGTGCACGTTACTGCTGCTGATATTTGTGTTATCGCTTTACAGGGACAAACTCAGCATCGTTTCTAACGGTCGGTAAGGTCAAATCCGTCCTCACGTCCTCATTCACGTTAGAGACCATACGTTGATAATTTTTGTTGAATCTAGTTTACATTGCTGTATATATGTTTGCCCTTGTCGGTAGTCTCTACCGAACTCTCTAGCCGAACTCTACATGGCTGAATATTCGAAACCTGTTCAAAACCCGGCTGAAAAACAATCACAAACATTTTTATAACCCGGTGCTGATGTTCACATTCAGGCATGTCTGTCCGTTCCTGCTGTGTGTACTTGGAATTTCCATTTCAAGACTTCTTTAACCCTTTTCTATTCTATAACAATTCACAAAACCTTTGGTGACTGGGTGATATACACTTCTGGACTCACAAGGGATCAACTAAAGGCACCGACAAACACAGACACATAGAGAGAGTTGTGAACTTCAGCTGCATAGACATGATTGGTTTCAGGCAGTTTCGGCAAGCTAACCGATGGAACGGTAAGCGACCGATCCGCTAGTTAGAATTCACACTGCAGACTTATTTCTATTCATTGAATCATTTCAAGATCCATCAGATCCCCTCCTGTCTTCTAGAAAGCTCAGTTCAGTGTTGTAGATCTAGACGTGATGGGCAGCTGTGCACCATGTACAACTGCTTATTTGCAATCTGCGCCCTCAATGCTAGAATAGGACAGTGCAAGCCGTCAGTTGGTCCCACGAAGCAACTGTTGCCTAACTTATCACAAAGTTTAACCCTGTTGAAGTGGGCGGATTTACTGAAACTTGCAATTTTGCACCTCAGTATTCGCCTACAAGCCATCGAAAGCTCTTGACCTCTACCACCCTGTCACATACACGCACGCACGGACGCACGCATGCACGCACGCACGCACGCATGCACGCATGCACGCACGCACGCACGCATGCACGCATGCACGCACGCACGCACGCATGCACGCATGCACGCACGCACGCACGCATGCACGCATGCACGCACGCACGCACGCATGCACGCATGCACGCACGCACGCACGCATGCACGCATGCACGCACGCACGCACGCATGCACGCATGCACGCACGCACGCACGCATGCACGCATGCACGCACGCACGCACGCATGCACGCATGCACGCACGCACGCACGCATGCACGCATGCACGCACGCACGCACGCATGCACGCATGCACGCACGCACGCACGCATGCACGCATGCACGCACGCACGCACGCATGCACGCATGCACGCACGCACGCACGCATGCACGCATGCACGCACGCACGCACGCATGCACGCATGCACGCACGCACGCACGCATGCACGCATGCACGCACGCACGCACGCATGCACGCATGCACGCACGCACGCACGCATGCACGCATGCACGCACGCACGCACGCATGCACGCATGCACGCACGCACGCACGCATGCACGCATGCACGCACGCACGCACGCATGCACGCATGCACGCACGCACGCACGCATGCACGCATGCACGCACGCACGCACGCATGCACGCATGCACGCACGCACGCACGCATGCACGCATGCACGCACGCACGCACGCATGCACGCATGCACGCACGCACGCACGCATGCACGCATGCACGCACGCACGCACGCACCAGCATCCACCCTGACCCAACAAAGTCAAACCAACAATACGCGTGTCGACCAATGTATGTCGACCACTCCATCCTTGCAATTTGATTGGTCTGCCACGACATGCCTCGTGGCCAGTCAGCACATGTCGTTTTTAGGGTCCTTTTAAACAGCACAACGGCCCTCGTGAGCTTAATTTCCACTGTCAAGCCTCAGTTCGTAGTATTCTTGCTTCACTGGAATTCCGGAGTTGTCTTATCTACAATGCAGCCAAGACGAATAGTCCGCGGTCCACTGAGGGCCTTGCATGCAAACTGTACTGAGGAGATAACAAATAATCTACCCCGTGATTACGAGGAATGTTTTACGCCTTCAGTTGATGGAAATTCCAGGTGAGTGAAAGTATCCATCCAAGCGAGCTGTTTTAGTTATTTATATTCATTATTTTTTTGCCATCAGGGTTCAGATTTTGTGATCTGCGAGCTTAATTTTTAGTTTCATTTCATTTTGTTATTGGCCGATGTGTGTCATCAGTGGTGGGCTACTAGAGGTCACTATTTTCATAGCCACAACACTTCATAACTTTGACTTTTCTGGAAGAGATGTACATCAAATATTTGCTGCTTTTAGTGCGCACCATAGTACTAAATAACAGTGTAGCAACCATAGAGGTAGTCGAGTCAATTATACCAGCTGCCTCGACTAGTTAGATGAGTCAATTAGCTGCCTCGACTAGTTAGATAATGCGCTACCGCGCCTGCTGCTAGTTCATGAGGTGGTCTATTAAGCTTGTGTCCTTAATTTTACGAGCACAGCTATTCCTCCCATATCTAGCCATCAGTTACTAAAATTGTTTATAGCTGCATAGGTCCGTTCGAAATAAAGCAATGGTGTTTCTGAGTATATACGATACATACGACCGGTTTTGTGTGGCTATGAGCACGTCAAAATCTCGACCTTTCTCAACAGAACAGCAACCTCTAGGGGCTCGGAATTACACTTTCCGATTTTAGTGATATCTTAAGCGTACCGAGTCACTTGTCTGCAAAGACCGAAGGTCTGCGTATTCAAATGCGGGATTAGGAGAACATTTATGTTGGTTTCAATGCAATCGTTCGCGTTTACTTGTATCATTTGGCACTATACGTTTGCGGTAGGTGGCACATTTGAAGCCTGGTCCTTTGGAGGCCCGGTAATTTGGAGGCCTCCAGCCAAGCTCTAAAACGGTCACACAAACCCACTTCGTTCATTTAATTTGGGTCGAGCGGTCTCGAGCAGCCCTTGTAGTGACACCCACAGGGATACGTGTATTGAAACTGGCCTTATAGGTAGGCCGGACACCCTCTAAAGCAATTTCCAGCTAATATGTCGTAGGGAGGGGGGGGGGTGATGCGTTTCGCTCTACAACACAACGACCTTTATTCACCGTCTGATGAACTTTCCACATTCGCGACGCCAGACAAACGCTAATTGCAGTTCCGTTTTTGATTCCCCTGTGGCACACATAAGAGAAACTCAGTGTCAAAAAGTTCGAGTGATGTCAAGTTGATAGCTCATTTTTCAGCTTGACAAGTGTCATTCATTTATTATTAAGAGGTGTGTTTTTGTCCAGTTCGTGGTTTAATTATTCCACTGCTCATCGCCACACTAACAATCATCATCTGTCGTTCCACTCCACATAGTATGGTAAAACAAGACACTCCTGCAACTCCGCTTGTACGAGTTCACAGTTCGGGCGTGGTCGGAAGGAGACGATCATTACAGCCATTGAGGACATCCAGTTGCCGTTCAGACAGGCCACATAACCTTGTTTCAGCGGAAGACATCCGATGTCATTTCCCGATTCGTGTTTTATCTGGAAAGTACCTGACGCCATGTGAGGCCAGTAAAACCTCGGACGATAATGAAACCACCATCGTATCACCCTTGCGAAGTGGATATAAACGTTCTGGAAGTTACGTTCCAGACGAGGAGGAAGTCACACAATCCAAACAGATATGCTACTCCAATCAATGTTCTGATAACAATTACTCCGAAAATAAGCTTACAATGGGTGCTTATGTGAAGACTCATCCACGGTATTTCCGACGGCGCAACAGTGCTGACTGTATGAGGCAGCCCATTTCAGACAGAGGAAAAGTTTGCGATGTGAATGTGACAGCATACATTAGTCGTCTTTCTCCCATATGTCCTGTTCCTATGCCTGAAGGATTTCCACTCCAACTTCCGCCATGTGCTACAGTTTCTTTACCTTGGGAAGCAAGACGTGCCATGCTCACTCCCAGACAACCTCAACGCACTGCAGAGACCCAGACATCTCCGACAGGTGAGTAAGACTCAGATAATTTGGAGTATTTCGCTCATTATCCACGATAAATTGTCCTATCCTGATGCAACTTTTCATTGCTCTCTACAGAATCGACAACAACAGTCTGCGGTCAGAAGTGCTCTCGGTGAGTTACACTACCATCTTTTACCGGTTTCCAACATCTCATTTGAATGGCCTTTTTTGGACCGTCGTTTGACCTGTTTATCTGGTTCACTTATTTGTACACATTGGATTAGGTTGACTACAGGATTATCACACTGCACAGGTTAACTCGCATTCTCAAATTTGAGATTATCACCAGTTGTTGTTTAATCTGTAAACACGTGGTTACCTGGTTACTCCGTCCGACTAGTTGCTATCATACACCAGTCATTCTAATCCAAGAACCCGGCAACAGGGGCGATTTGATGCCAGATTAGGCACGGACCATTTAACCTGCATCTTTCATGCAACAACCACCAGTATGTTGTGTAACAAGTGATTACACGAATGAACTGCGGGCTAGATGACCTCTGCGAATAAGGTGGGGGTGGATCAGTAAAAAAAAGTACAATGCCTCCACTTTTCTCTCCTATTTCAGATCCAAACGTCAGAGCTTTGGGTCGTCACAGATGTTGGTTGGATTGCGCAAAACGTTTGGTAGTCTCCGCCGGGCAATCAGTGCAGAACGACTACATCGTTCTTCCAACAGTCTTTTGGGATCGACCGAGCGAAATTCATCACAAAAGCCTACACCTCCGAAAAGTGCCAAGTTAAAGCTTAAAACATTGGTATGCAAACGTTCAAGTATTCAACGTTCATCGATCGGCGTTGGTACCAATTCCGCGGTCATGATCAAAACTACGTCACCAAAGCAGTCAGATCAGTCTAACCATCAAAAATCTACCGCAACTGCCCCATTTACTAACGAGGTTAACGGGAGCAAACTTACATGCCAAGTGGTCAGCAAGCTTCCCGATGGATCAATACGAATAGCCTTGCGTCGTGGATCAACTCGACAACAGTTTGGATTCTTCATTGCTCGCGATTCAGACGGTGAGTGCATTGAATCTCATTCTGACAAATTCCATACTAGCTTAGTCCAGCCGATATCGTGCTATTTTATCAGTTTGACTTAGAGAACCGCTTCGGGAAATAATAGAGTAGCGAAGCCACTCATTTTCCGTAGACATAAACATAGCTAGAGTCGACCCGGTTGTAGAATTTATATTTGCAAAGAAATCCTCCGTGAATTCCAAAGTGTGGTTTGATAATTCAAGTCTTGCATCATCAATAAACCTGTTAACATTTGATTTGCATTACAGGTATCTATATCAGCAGACTTGGAGGTGTTCGGAGTGCTGTTAAGTTCTGGGATTTGTTCCGTGTTGGTGACAGAATTTTGGAAGTTCAAGGTACATCATGCAGTAAACTGGATGTGGAAGATGTGCAAAATCTGACCCGAGGATGTGAACTTGTAGAATTTCGAATCAAACCGACTCATGCGAGTAACTTCACGTACAGTTTGACCCAGTCTAGCTGCTGACGTGAAGTACCTCCGGCAAACTTCGCGCTTCTTTGTGATTGATTTTTACTAACTGCTGCCCCTGCTCATTGTCCCGTCCTATGCCAAATGTACATAGAGATTACCTTTCCCTCAGATACCTGAAAAGGTCTATTCTTTTTACTTGCTCAGATGAACCCTATTTTTTCCTTAGCTCCATCAGATAATTTTCAGCTGTTTAAACTATGAGTATAAATGGTGTTCTGTGCCAAGCAGATCTCATATTTCTGTATTTCTTGGGGGTTTTACGCGTTTCGGCAAAGATTGTATTGGTTGGGGAAAGTATGCACTACCATGATTTATTTGACAGCCTTCTTAAAATATTGTTCAGCTGTAGGACCATTTCGGTGGTTGACTGCCATGCCATCAGAAGGAAGCACGAGGGCCGGGATGCTGCCAGGTTCCCCAAGCCTAGACAGGGGGGAGTCAATATACAGAAGTCGGGTCAGTAAATTCGCGCTCTAAACACAGCCTTATTGTTGAGGGAAGAGTAGAAGCGGACGAAGTAGGCGGTTGGTGCTAGCCTGAAACAATCATTCCGAGGTCCCTACACCTCCAGACATTCAGGCAATCTGGGTAGACTGAAAACAAGAACGCCAGTGACCGATTAGTAGCCAGATTTTGTATCCAACTAGGCGCAGTGGAGATCACGCGGTCCCCATCCCGGAGTGCATGTGGCGTCGAAGGCACCCAAAGGTTTCATATTCTCTTCAAGCCCCTCCGCAACGTCATCTTCTGCCACTCTGAACTGGACAAATGATTCGGCATGCGCAATGCATAACGAACACAGCCGGTGCTGAACATATTTTTCAATGGAAGACCGTTACACAACCAAAAACTCGCTCTGTAATTGCCTCGTTGAGGATTCTCCGACGCTAACCCACTCCAGCCATGATCTTGAGACAACAGTTGTCCAACATCTCAAAACGTCTCAGTTCGGCTGTTCCAACAGGCTAATTCTAACAGCCATACAACAAAACAGCCCATACTGTAAAATGATACACGTCCTTTGAGATTACGGGATGTACTGTCTTGACGAGGTGTCTCAAATTAGCAAATGTGACCCGATTCATGCGTTGACGTCATCTGTCACATTACCGTCAAGTGATAATACGTCCAAGATATGTAGAACGCTCCACAACTTCGAGTGCCTCTCCCTGGATTGTAAGTGGCGTGTTCAAGAGCATGACCTTACAATTTGTGACCGCAAAGTGCATACCAAAGGACGGATGAATTTGGCCAGTTCAGCCAAAAACACCTGCGTCTTCTATTCGAAGTCGAGAATGATGTCGTCTGCATATTCCAGGTGGACAAGGTTTTTGTCAGAGGTTGTTTGAACACCGGGTTTTTGATGACCTTCCAACACTTGTCTCACTATCTCACCGATTACAAAATTAAATAGGAATCGAGAGAGTAAGCACTCCTGACGAACACCGTTTTAGGAGAGCTTGCCGTATACTGTCACACGCTCGGAAGTCTGAGAATACAAAGAAATTATGTTCAATAACTTTCGGGGTATTCCTTGATGGGCAAGCGTGTCAAGGAGGACAGACCTGTTAACCGAGTCGAATAAGACTTGGAAACATAGGAATACTAAATTTGTGAGTCCCTTGTACGTACGAGTGCAGTTCTCACAAAACATAATAGCTCTAGTGAGACCCTGTAGGTAAACCAGTTGCTTTGTGTAGATGACAGTTGTAACATGTGCTGTGTATACACTTTGGACAAGCACCACGGCTATGGGTAACGTTTGTCTTGTAGAATAATTGAGTGGAACAAAAACAGCTTCACTAAGGAGGGCATTTTTGAATCGTTGAAAGTCCCACAAGAACTAAGCACATTCCACGTCAAAATAGGCCTAAGAAGCTTCTTAATTTGACACAGTGGAATTGTATCCATCAAGCACGTTTTTCTATCATTCACGCCATTATGCTTGGGTGAGCTCAGGATGTTAGGACGCACTACAACAAATTTTGTGAACCGATCCGATGTTTAAGGCCAGTTTATTGGGCACTCCAATCGGGTTTGGTTGCGTGGCTGATCAATACCCAAACCCAGATTTCTTTTGTGAGGTTTGTCTTATCCTGACCTCTGTAAGCGAAGACACACGTCTACTACCTAAGGATTGAGCCGTTAGTTGTCCTGGGTTTTCGGGGCGTTCATCAGGGTACCTGAAATCCAATTATGCCAACCGATGTATTAACATTCCTTGAATCTCCTAACAACCACGAAGGGATGGTCAGCATTGTTGAATCGTCCTGTTGCTAGAGTGAGGAAGAACGAACCCAGGAAAGATATTCGTCCTTTCCGGACGACATTCTGTCCAAGTGACAACAACTCCTTTATTAGTATTTTGGACATCGTAAAGTAACTAGTTCCTTGAAAACTCGGGTTCACATTGTGCTCTAAGGGGAAGGAGATCATACACATCCAGAAGACTAGAGCTCGACAGTAGACCAAACTGGCTGCAGATGAGTGAGATGAAATACAAAAACATAAATACCCAAGACGGGCGAGCCACGATTCCTTATACGCTGAAAATTTTGATGGTCGTCAAAGGCCAGGCCTCATGGAATTCGATTTCACATACATCGGTGGCTCACTCCTAAGGTTCAGACATCCTTGCATATGCGGTCAACTGCACGGAAACCAAGCCAGTTAAAGTAGTCATCGACAGGGTACGTTGTTGGAAAGGATGACTGCAATCGGCCTAACTGTCCTATACCTCAACACAGCAGTAAACAGCGACTTAAAGCCAACCTGGACTGATGACGAAACGTTTGCAACCAGACTGGCTAACTCAGCGAACAGAGCAATAGCTATTTATGCAGACCGAGTTAGCAACGTGGCCCCCAGTTGCAAAATACCAGATTTCTACCTACGAATGCACCTACAGCTGCTGGTGGTTGCGTCAATCAAGTTCCTAGAGTTAAATTTCAGCACAGCACTGAACCTAGGTAAAGGCAACAAATCACCTAACTCTAAGTACCAGAGGCGGCATTTACCAAACCGGAAATTCCCCTAGATCCCCAAACTGAAAGTATTGCAAGCAGGTACGATGCGTGATTTACTAATTCGCCCTTATGCAAACCGTAGCAAGGTTTGTAAGTAATCCCGTGGGAATTCTCTTTTGGTCTGAATCAAAGCGGCTCTTTCCCAAAGGACTTTTTGATGAGATGTATCATATGGTTTTTCAATTGAAATGTGACAATGTTCAAATATGATTCTATGCAGTTCGAACTGCGATAGATGTTGGAGCGTTAGATTAAAAGTGATGAAAACTTAAGAAATGGGGAAATGAGGGGTCATTTTTGAAAACCTCCAGGTTAGAAGAAAGATGGTAGGATGCGATCCGCAGCGTTTTGGGGCTTGCACATCGTCTGCTCAAGTATATGAGTTTTCAGCTTTTTTCCTCCGCCTGTCCACCTGGAGTTCTCAAGTGTACTGTCACATACTAATTGAGATCGAGATGGACTGCCATACAGCAATATTGGCAAGTATGATACGGTAATTTCATTCACTTTGCAAACATAAGCCAAACGGTCTGTGGTATAAGGCTTCGGGCTAAGCCTAGTCTTCACTGGATGTAGGCCAGTGCAATAAATGTTTTCGCTCTTTCTAAGATCGGATTGGGAAGGGAGCAACTTAACAGGGAAGACAAAGATATTTGGTCAGTAACGAAAACCCTAACAAACTCATTCTCAAATGAGATGTCCGGATTCAGTGACATGAAAGTACTCTTGTTCACAAGCGCTACTCATCTACAGCTCACTGCTGGTTTCATCTTATTCGAGGCTGCTCATGTAGATGTTGGCCATGAGTTCCGATCAATTTTTTTATCTGCTAAACTCATCTACTCAGCTAAAATGAGGGATTCATTTAGAGCCCGGCTAAATCATACGCTTACGTCAAACAGGTTATTTGTATAACTAGTTATTTTCTTCCTATAGATCGGTGCTTATAGGGATCTTACGCACTTCTGTAGTTGTCTGCGCCTCTCGAAACAAACCGAAACACATCCATAAGTTTAAAGAACTCTTCATCTCGTGTGCAGAAACTTTGCTTTGGGGGACACTGTGAGGTCATGTAGACACTTAAAGGGCCATGTCTATGAACAAAAGGACCGCTCAGGTCAAGAGGATGTTAACGAAATACCCGCTGAGTTAAAGTTTTTAATCAGGGACAAATTAGTATGTCAAAGAAAGAAATTAGCTTGCAATTTTTATAAGACTGTCCACTAGTTGTGATTAATTGTCTGAATCCTTAAGTGCTTTTTCGAACGTTATGACGTCAGTGGTGAGAGATGATGTAAAACGCAGATGCCGAGAATGGTGGCGCAATCACAAGATGTACACCACAACTGACTGCCTCTTTGTTGTACAGGTAGAGTTATGGTGTTCAAAAGAGACAATTTGTCTTTGGTGGATGGGATCAGATTACATTGCTTTCGCAGTGCATAAGGCTGTAAGGAAAGCTGGTTATACAATTGGACGAACTAGGCCATCGGTACGCTGTTCCACTTCTGCTTACGTTGTAAGTGTTTTTGCAGCAGGGCACGCACCCATGCTGGCAGCAGTGCGATTTCCCTGAACAGCAATGAAGGGTAGTTATTGTTCTAATGTTCCAAGCAAAAAACATTTACTTTGCCATCGATCACATCAGTCTAACACGGCTGCCTAAAAACCATAGTCATACTCTAGATCCTAACCACTGTCGTGAGATCTGACTGCTTTGACGTCTCATGCTCTTCGAACTTCGAGGTTTGACATGTGTCACGTGGATCGTATAGAGACGTGGTGATAACGGCCCTAGAGAGAGGGGGCAGACATACATGTGACGGATAAAGGTGATGCTCTTTTGATTGTTTCGGTTTCCGTTAGAACACGCAGGGTCAACTCATTAATTGTCCGTTGTCGGAGTGATAAGAATGGTTCGTGTCTTCGCGATTAGGATATCGTCATGTCACCTAACATTCCAAACTTTCCACTGAGAGACAATGCACGCGCACACATCTTTATTTTGTGACCAGATTGATAGACCTGAAGTAGCATAATAGTCCTTGTTGGGCGTAGTGCTTCAACCCAGTCGGATTACTGTCTGTTTTTCTTGCATCATGTTCCTTAGACCTTTGTCACATAAAATCGTGCTGTAGAAAATGTTCACCAGGTATTTATCGGACATTCAGTACATTTTAAACGATTGAAGCA